GTCTTTGGCCAAGTACTTTCACGGAAAAGTATTTTTTCAGCGAAAACACTACAGGATTCTCGTCTGTTTCGAAAGTACTTGGCCAAAGACAAAAATCTGTTTTCTAATAGCCCACGTCGAGTACATGCGAGATATATGTCATCCCACGATCTGGAATCCCATAAAATAGTGCAGCTTGTGCTCAAACTTTGAAAAACGACGAAAATCGCCTTTAAGAGCTGTTTATTTCTATCATTAAATATTTTCTAATCGCAATGCGAATCCCATCGGATAGAACTTGAAAAGACGCGTCGAATGCATATTTTGTTGTCTTTTGTTAATATGGCTTTATGGAGGAAAATGGTTTACAAAAAGCGCTGCTTTTCCGAAAAAAACACCTTTTTAGACATTTTCCTGAGAACGTGCTTAACATTTTGGAACTTTTTGTTCGATGGTGATTTTGTAGCTCTGCACATATAGAAGTCAATCTGACGGTACCACCAAGCCGTACTTTTAAAATTTTTTAAACGTGATATTCGTCATCAGGAGCCAGAGTCGTACGATTCTGTAAATAGTAGAAAAGTATCACTACAGTTGGTTTTAAGTAATTTCGCGTACTTTTGGTAACTAAAATCTGAGTAATTCTTCGTCAATAAGGCGCCAATTCCGCAAAGATCAGCTATAGGTTATACCCCATAAAAAAAATCCCAGTAGGGCACTGGTAAAAATCAGTGCAGCACTGCCAGTACGCACCGGTGGCATGCAATCGATCACTGGCACTGGCTGGCACCGTTGCACACCCGTGCCCAGTAAGTACCGAACCAGTGCCGATTGGCACGCGTGCATTGCTGGGCCGCCAGCAGAGCAATTGGGGGTAATTGCTCATCGCGGAAAAAAATATCGTGTGAAGAATTATATTATATATTATATTATAATATTAAAATTATTTAAAAAAAATTATTTAAAAAAATAATTTAATTATATTATTATATTAGAGTATAGTACAATGAAAACAAATTGATATCTCGGTATTTAATACAGAGAAGTTTCAGTTTATCCCACGATCAATTACATCTAATTTTTTTATTCTCATCTTTGTAAAAGCGAAAGTATTTGTCAAAAAAGTCAAATGCTTGTTGCATTTACTGATACGCTTCTCAAAAGTTTTCATTTGTGGCCACAATGTTGTTGCATATTTCAGAATCCGAAACACTCATAAGAAAACATTTTTTTTGTTCAGATTTAATTTCTCCTTTCCATTTTTTGGCTAGAATTGCCTGATTCATTGTAATCCCAAACGCATGTATTACGTGGGGATTGTTAATAGTCGCTAGCTCCCAGTCTCAAATTTCTCCATGAGTATTTTGATAAAAGTACAAACAACAGCCCCAAACGCCCTCTATCACTCTCGTGTTTGATTGACTGATCAACAGTTACAATGAGAGGCGATAATACAAGAATATACCTTTAAGGTTTTCATTTTTATTCATTTAGTCATGTTGATATATGTTCATAGTCGTTGTGAATCCAAGATAGGTGGAAATTGTATTTTTATCGTCTAGCATGATGGTTTCTACGTTCCATATTTATCTAAATTTTTAATTTCTCAATTTTTTCTCTAGACATGTTGAATAAAGTTCTTCTATCCATAAATTCTGTGAACTTTTTAATAGTTTATAATATTGCAATACTGCTAAATATTTTTAGATTTTAAAACATTTTTCAAGTGGGCGCGTATTAGAAACATGGCAGATCACACAACTGCTTCTGACGACTTTTTGTAAGTGGAATAGTCAGACCGATATTTTTAGTTACTTATTGTTTCTTTTTAGGTTTGGTAGTTCTGTTGCATCGTGTCATCAGTCAATACGATTACGTAAGTGATAATGTAGAAGTTAATTCGTGGCTGAATTATTGTGATAACAAACTCTTCGTTTAACATTGCAGAGTTTTTACGAAAAGTGTATGGGATCGTGGCGACACAATTATGTTTCGTTACTGTAGTGTCTGCCTTTATGATGTCAGTTGAATCGGCAAAATTGTTTTTCCAGAATAAGTAATTGTTTACTTTTATTTGCCACCACCAGTACATTTTCTTATATCTTCAAATAATTACATATTTTAAATTTCAATTAATCTTTTTAGTCCTGGTTTTTTACTGCTGGCATTTCTCGGTACGATGGTGAGTATTTTTCTGGGTTATGTTATTAATTGAAAATCTGTTTTGTCATTCTGACATTTTAGGTATCATTATTAGCTGTCCACGTCAAGAGACTGGATTATCCAACGAATTTTATTCTACTCGGTTTGTTCGTAAGTGTTTATTAGTAATTAAATTTTTTTATCATAATATTTTGTTTTTATACTAGACATTATTCGAATCGTTTACAATTGGTACACTAGTGTCATATTTCGATAAATTACTTGTTATTCAAGCGTTAATTATTACAGCAGTTATTGTTTGCTGTTTAACAATGTATACATTTCAAACTAAACGAGATTTTTCGACAATGGGTGCTGGTTTATTTGCTTTTTTATGCGTCTTATTTGCCGGATCTTTAATACAAGTAAATTAAGAATTTTCTAAACATTGACCATTATTATTCATGTTCTCGCTTTTTAGATATTTCTTCAATCATCGGTGCTGGATGTTGCACTTGCAATGGGTGGCGCTCTTGTCTTCAGTGGCTTTTTAATCTATGATACTCAACAAATCATGCGCAAATGTTCACCAGAAGAATATATCACGGGTGCAATAACAATTTATCTTGATATTACCCGATTATTTATTGAAATTCTCCGATTATTAGAAGCTGCTCGTGAGAAATAAAATGATTTCTCAATGGTTTTTGTATGCATGCTGGCAAACACTAAATTTTTTTTCGCTTTTGTTTGTCACTGTAATTAAGTATCATATGTTTTGTGTTGAGTTTATATAGTATTGATATTGGGCCCTCTTGTCATAATTAATAAGGTGTTCAATCTATTTTTATTTTTTGTTTGCGAAGTTCCGAGTAGCTACCATATTTTGTACGTTGATGTTAAAGAATATATATTTATCGACCTCTGTTGTGGTAATTTTGTAACTAACAAAATTCCGAATACAATTAAAATTTCTTTTTTCCAGTTGTTATATAAAATAGTTCGTGTGCATTGTGATAACTTGGAACTCATGCAACTAATGAGAAACTTTATGATTTATCGACTAAGGTGTTACTTGTGTTGTAGAAAAATCACCTTCATTCGTTTAACGATCTATATTGGAATCAGAGCCGCATAAAGTAAAATTTTACACTAAAGAATTTTTTTTGCACTAAATATATTGAGAGGAAGCTGTGTGCTTCCTTGCTACGTATGACTTCATTCATTTTATTTTTATAGCTGTTATTTAACTTCAGTAGCAGAGTAAAAGTGAGGAGTTTCTATTTGATTTCTAAACCGTTGCTTAATAACAGGACTATTGAATCATAATTAGGTTACAATGCTGTTGTTCAACGGCAGATTGCTTTTCTTCATATTTCTTATAGAGAAGTGCGTGACTCACAGTAATGACCATGCCATGATTGTTATAGTGATTATGACTATTAGAAAAAACGCTGTTCATGAGTTTCCTTACGAGAGAGTCTGAAAGGCAAATAGTTTTTTGAAAAATACAGTTTTCATACGGCAATGACAGGCAATTAAAAGAAGTGATTTTCTGAAGGACCGGTAGTATACAGCCTATCTGTAACCTGCGTGCATATTTGACTGAGCATTAACAGTCAGCTAGCACTTCTTCATGTGTAAACGTTTAAACGATTAAAGATAAAATTTAAAACTTTAATTATCTTTAAAAGATCACCTTTTAATACAAATCTACTAGTTCTTTTTTTAAATTTTTCTCGTGATCACTATACCTGTGACCGAAAAACCTTGGTCACGTATGATTGACTATGAATTTTCTTGTATCTGACAATTAACCAAGGGGGAAACGGCTGATTTTGGGATTTTTCCGATATTTTAGAAGTCAGACATAGTAAAAGTAAAGAAAAAAAAAATCTTAATGTTATTTTTTGCTCAATAAATGGACAACGTTGAATTTTCTTCTGTTAATAAATAACACCAATTGTCAGTGATTTTTCGATTTTGGATGATTTTCGATTTAAATCGGTTTTCTAAGCTCAAAAATCGGCTGTTTCTCCCTTGCAATTAACGCTAATAGTAATGTAAAATAGTCGTTTGTACGGAAAGAGGAACTATAATGAATACCCATCGTATTTTCCCCCTTTCAGTGCTTAAAATCCATTTTCTTATTTGAGAATTATACGTGTGACCAGGTCATGATCACACATTTTTGATGTTGAGAAATATCGTTGCCTCGTTAGACATAAACAGATTCAGCCATATTCTCAAGATTTTGCCGATCTTGAGAGAATGACTTTATTCGGGTTATTCGATTTTCTTCAAAATTGCTTCTTTTTACTTTTAAGATAAGTGTCATTGATTCGAGTGTTTGGATTTGTCTGCAAAGAACAAAATTTAAAAATGGTAGTTGATTATGATACTATTTTTCTCATTCAATTTCATTCCACGATTATTCATTTAAGATTTGGCATGAAAAGGATGATGAATGGCGAACTTCACTTTATTATGATTTGATCGTCGATGATTTAAATTTACCAAAATTTGGTAAGTCAAAAAGATTAGTCAATTTTCTAAACTATTTCATCTTTTTGCTTTTATTCAATTAGAATCATGTGTACACAGTTTACAAGAACTGTTGGAAGATAATTCGTCTTTTGTCAACGTAAACTTTGCTGTTTCAGTATGCAAGTAAATATTAATCATTCTTATAGATTTAATTATCATATATTTATTTATTTATTTATTTATTGTTTCAGAAGCCGTAATCTTCCATCGTGCGTTTTTGTTCTGAGTCTTTTATATATGAAACGGCTAAGAGCGTTGCGTTCATCAAAGCTAAACGATATTAATATCAAAGAACTTTGTGTAATTGCAATGGTAAGAGAGTAGAACCGATGTTCATAGTGACATTTCTAAAATCTGTATCATCTTATTCAGTTGTTGGCTGATAAATATTTGATTGATGAAGGTGAAGACGAACAACTATTTAATTCGGAATGGGCTCAAGCATCTGGAATGACAACGGGAAGAATAAATCAAATTGAACGACTAGTTTTAGAAGCAATGGCATGTGATAAGCTTTTAAAATTATTATTAAAAACTAAGTCTGTTTACATTTTTGTTGTAGGATTGGTCATTACATGTACCTGTTTCAGAATTTCATGATTTTTTTAAATCATTCACCACTCGGTACTTATTACTAACATCCTTCTGTCAGATTATAATTAAGATTCTTATTTACGTAGAATGACTCTAAACTCAACAATGGACAATGAATTATGTGATTGTAACGACTGTTATTTCTATGCCTCCGAAAATTCATCCGGATTTTTCGATTTGTTTATGAAAATTATTCCACAAGTACATATTAATAAGACTGTGCATCTCAAATAAAAATATCTGTCTGCTATCAACTTATTTTCTAGATAGCCGAAATTTTAGCTATCACCAGTTTAGTTATTATTGGTTCAGCTTTATCCTTACACATGGCCATTTTTACTGGTTCACTGGCGCATCGTGCACTTATGAAATCGTTAAATTCGGACGCAATTCAAAATAATGCTATTTGTTCTTACAGTAAGTATTTTGAAAGTGGGAATGATACATTCTTGTTTATCCTTCATTTTCAATATATTTGAAGAAATCAAAACAGATAAAGAAAAAAAAATTGAGATACAGCACGTCAAAGAATTGTAAACAAACGTCGGAAAATCGAATGTACGATTAGATAAACGATTCTAGTCGCATTACTACTCTTTATCTGTAGTCCATAAAAGTGAAGCTTGTCGTTTAGTACATCTAGATTCGTAGCTATAGGATATGAACTGCACATAAGAGGTAGTAATCTTTTTTCTCATTTTTAATAGACAACTATCATTGTAGATCATGTTTCGAATACTGCTGACAATACTGCCTTATTAGAGCCCATTTTAAATCAGACATACATAAATAAACCAAATCTTGGATTAGACAACGACGATGTAACATTCAAAGAAAAATTATTTAATGAAATAATGTTATTCCATTCAATAAATGATAGTTCGTTTGATAATAATAATCATTTTCACTATAAACAACAACAACAACCGAATTGGATAGTCTTTAAATCAGATCGTTTAAACATCAAAAAGGTAAAATTATTCAATCAAGACTTAGTCTTTAGTTATTATCATAACAAACCGTCATCATCGATTCAAATACAATTACCTTTTGTTTCGTGTTTTGGATAAGCTGTTTTTCATAAATCTTTTGTCAAACATTCATTTATCAATTGTTCAATGTCGATTCAAACAACGATCAATGACAGTTATTACTTTTATATGTGAAATGGAAATGGTACATGAAAAATCATATAGAAACACATTTATTTGCAATATTTATGTCCTTTTTATGTGAAAGACTGACTTATTGTTTGATGTATAATATATAGTAGTTTCTTCACCTAGTTTTTCTTCTCATTTAAATACAATTTTTCTTCTCTTTTTTGTTGAACTTCTTTTTTTTCTTAGATCTCTCTTTACCATGAATGATATTTTGATCATTTTTCTATGTGACCTTTATTCAAAAGGAAATTTGTTTACTGTGAATTTTTTTTTCTATAACCTATATTGATTGTCACCTTCGAATTTCATTTCTTTTGCAACATTGTTTTTGTTGCTTATTTTATATAACATATTTTTTAAACAAAGCATCATAGTGATATTGGGTGGATCCATTAAAAAACTTTGGATTGTGCTATGTTTTGATAGGACAAATTGTGTATCATAAACACAGTTCTACAACTGATTCGATTAGCATGTATACAATAGGTGGCAAAGTTTACCGTTTTGAAAATAAAAGTATGGCAATAAATTATCACAGAAAGTTTTTTCCAAATAAAGCAATTGTAGGGGTGAGATTCAAAGTTGAGAGTTTTTTTGGGACTTTTGAGACAACATAACAATTTAATAGGAATTGTGCACAACCTTTTGGGACAATAGGATACAGCGACTTTCGGCCTTCACGTCGCATATCTGCTTCAAAGTTGCGTCTATGAAAAATTGTTAATCTTCTCCTGTTAGTAACTGTGATATTTGTGTGTCTGTTCTGTTTTTACATGTATACATTCTCATCACTCTGTTTCTATGAACTGATAGAGAATTTATCTCATCTTCTCCTAACAATTGTCACAAAAAAGTTCAAATTAATAAATATTAAAAAAAAACTGTTTGCTTGCTGTTGCAAAAAAGTTCTGCGATCCCTCTGCGCGAGACGAACTTTGTTGATTCATTATGATTAAAGCGCAGTATGTGGCTTAAGCGTGGTCAATCATCGTCAACGTATAGTTGTACTGTTTGTGCACTACTGGAATCAAAATCATGTTCACAAGCATGAGATAATATAAAGGACATTTTGGTGGATCAAAATGTAAAACTGAAGTTTGAATTCGTCATTTACCCAGTCAATAAAGATTTCATCAATGTTAAAAATAACGGATTAACAACATGCAACGGTGAAACAAGTTGATGAACTAATGATAACAAAGAAAAACAACAGAAGAATTAGATAATGTAAGAAAATTGTTGAAACAAAATTTTAAAAAAAAAGAATGTGAAGAAAACTTAAATAAGAGTGTGAAACAGAAAACATGAGACAAGAGTTGTAAGAAAAACATCAGTTCTTTTTGTTTGTTTTAGAATGTTACGATTCAAATAAAAAAATAATCTCTGATAAATCACATTCACATGCAAACACGGAAATATTAAGTCTTTCAAGTCTACTCTGCGCTAGTTTTCTAAAAAATTTCAAGGTTTTCAAGATGAATCTCAGCGCTGAGCTATCGTTTTATTGCCATAACTAGCTTAGCAGCGACTAAATAAATGCTTACTTAATTACTTATAATCAAAATTCTTAATACTCGTAACGGCATTAATAAAAACTTATATTTCATAGTCATACATTTACTTATTATGTTTGTTTTCGAATTATTTCGAGAAGATGAAAGAAAAATTTAATGTGGGGAATAATACATTAAAGTTAAAGTGCAGAACAAAAGAAATTTCGACAGTTAAATATTTAATCCAATCAAATTGTATTTCGACCAAAATATTTGGCAATAGTTTTCGAACATATCCAATGTTTAAGCAGATTTTTCAGACTGGAGGAGAAAATGAGATGTTTATTTGAGTCAATTCATACGTCCTTTGTTCACACATTAGCAGAACACGATGACTTTATATATAAATAAAACGAATCAAATAAAGTGGTGTTTTAATAATGCATTTTTTGTGAAAATAATAAAAATAAGTGAACTAATACTATAGAATAAGAATAAGACTGATTTTGCGGTGTAATATTTCAGGACTTCAATTCATATTTATAATTATTTATACAATTTTCATGATTTCTGTAATTATTATATAATCAACGTTTATTTTTGTTTCGTTTACGGTGATTTAATTATTCGATTTATGAAAATAGATGACACGTTAAACTACAAAATTAATGTGTTAGCTACATAACAGAATCAATAAATAGCAATACAATACAACTGAATCAAAACATGGAAGTTTCAATAGTGATAGTCCTACTTATTTTATTTCAAGGTGCACAAGCAGGTAAGATTTTATGGAGCGAACCCAGTTTAAGGTGCGCACAATGCAAAATTACAGCAAAGTTTTATTTTTGAACTTATTACATCATTGGATAGAGAGCATTTCAAGCTGATTAAGAAAATGTACTTTTTAATTTTTAGAAGAAAATTTTGCGGGTGAAAAATTGAAAATACTTGAAGGATCTAAAACGTTGAAAAATCCTTCAAGTTCAAAAATAGCTCA